GGCAGCTCAGCCAAGTTCCGGCTCTGGGGTGCCTGGGGTGAGAGATGAGAAGTGGATTTCTTCCTATCAGCACATGAAAAGCCCGGCGTTTGCCCTTCCAAATCCCTAACCCTGAAACTTCTACACCTGCTGTGCCTTCCCCCAAAAGCAGTAATTTTCAGCTTCAATGGCAGCAACTGTGGGGCTTGATTAGTTGGGAGCCATCCCAGTACTTTGTAACTATTTTAGTTGATTACAAATGTTGATCATTTTTAAATAAATCTGATTCCAGATTAGTCCACAATAGTGTAACTTTCATTCATTTGCATTCAGAAATGTTTTCTTGAGAGGGCAAAGGAATGGAAATATAGCTAGCACATTGGGAATTGCACATAATCCATGCAAATATGCAGTGTTTGTAAACATAATCCTACAATGCCCAAACACTGTCAATCCCTGAGTCTTCAATTTTCACTCAGTAAGAACTTCCCATGGTCTTCCTGCTCTTTACAGATTATACTTTCATGGGTGAATAGGCAAACTAGATTAAAATGAGCATTTTGGCCCCTGTTGCGCTATTATCCAACTCTGATTCACCTGCATTCCCTACCATCTCTGCTCCAATCCTCTGCTATAGAAAATCCACTAAGTGCATGTATTGGTGCTGAAGTACCACAAAGTCATGGTCTTCGTAGAGGACTTGATAGATTGGTACTCATCATCTATTTCAATCTCTCTTTTAATGTGCTTTCCCCCATATTACAAAAATGGAAAAGCTGTAACAAAAGAAACACAGGAGCAAACTATATTTGCCAGACTCCTCTGCAGCTCTATTTGGAAGATGCAAATGAGGCAGGGGCCCTTTCCCCCTGCTTTGGCTGTTGTTGCTGCCAAGCATATTCTTGGAAACACTGGGTTCTTCTGCAATAGGATCCCTATAGTCATTCACTAGTTTTATGGGATATGGTTTTATATCTAGCCAGCCCCCAAGATAGCACCTAATGGTTCTTGTCTCCTAGTATTCAATCCTGCGTAGTCCCCTTTCACAGTAAGGTCTGACTGTGTGACCAACAGAATACTACAGAAGTGATTGTATGTGACTTCTGAGGCCAGGTCATAAAGAACATTGCTGCTGCTTCCTCCGTGTCTTGGATCATACACTTTGGGGGCAGCTGGCCATCATGTAGTGTCGACATTCACACAACTTATGGAGAGCCCCACATGGAAGGGGACCTGAAGTTTCCTCCAGCCATCTCGGAGGTGGGTCTCTAGCCCCAGTCAAGCCCACAGATGACTGCATCCTCAGCCAAGATCTGATTGAATTCCATGAAAATTCCAGAACCAGACTGCATAACCAAAGCACTTGAAAATTTCTGACCAACAGAAACTTCAAGAGATAATAAATGTTTATTGTGGGTTTAAGCCACAAGAATAAGCAAATCTCTATTGTTGTTTTTAGATTTTGGGTAACTTGTTAAGCGGCAATAGATAATTAACACATGGGTTTGAGAGTTTGGGCAGTAGCCGTGCACTTGGAGCTAAATCCCAGTTTTCTATTTTACCACTTTCCCAACTGAGGCAGAGATAGTAGGTCCCTATCAGGCCTGTTTGGCCACTTTGTACTGAAAGGCATTTTTTGATCACCCAGCCTAGTGCTCACTCCTCCAGTCCTCCCAATAACTTTGTAAGCACACATTCTCAGTATTATAAACGTTTCTGCTTAAAATAGCCAGATTGGTTTCTCTTTCCTGCAGCTGAGCTTAACCTAATAAAAAATACCCATCTGAAATTAACAGTGAGACACTAGAGACATTCCTGTTAAAGTTAGAAATAAGACAAGGAAGTTGGCTATCGACAGTATTATTTAACATCAAGGTGGAAGTATTTCATTATCAGTCAAGATAATGAAAAAAACGTATTGCAAAGTAGGAGGCAAATTGTCATTATATATAATAAGGTGATATAATTGTCTACCAGGAAAATTTGAACGAATAAGCTGAAAATAAAAACTATTAAGAAAGTTCAGTGGGATAGTCAGTAAAAAATTTAACAAAAAAGGTCAAAAGCTTTCCTATGCAGCACCAATAACCATTTAGAAAATATAAAGGAAGAAATAATCCAGTCCAGTAGCAAAAAATGCATAAGATAACTTGGAAAAATAAACTAATCAATTTAATGCAATTTCCGTGAAAATTCCAGCTCTTTTTGAACTTGGAAAATTTTATGACGTTATCTGGAAGGTTCTTTCTTTATTCTTCTAGATACCATGGGTCATATTTATTTTTGTCCCTTGCAGAATTGTTGTCTTTTAGTTGAGATTTGTGTTATGCCTTCCGCTGAAACTGGAGACCTTCTTCATTTATTCATTCAGCAATATTTATTGAAGCCTAAGCTGTGGTAGTTACTGTTCTGGATATCTGGGATTTCTCAGTGTCCAACTTTCCTGGCACTTGCTTTCTATCGAAGAAACCACCATATAAACATAGCTATTCATTGAGGCTATTTGCTACTTTATTCAGTAACCCAAAGAGGAGTTTCTTAAGGCCTAAGAACTGGAAAAGTGGCTAAGGAATTCATATAAAGTTTACTCCTGAGCAAACAAAGTTTCTCCTTTTGATTTGCCAGGGAAGCTTAGTCTATTGTTAGCCCAACTTGAGTAACTAAGATTTTTGCGTCTATCCTATTCCAATACAAACTTTCCCCCTTTTGGAACTCCTTACTTCCTATTTCACCTATATTTTCACTGATCTTGCTTTTCAAAAATTTGAATTTTTTTGTTTCATTGTATTCTAATGTACTTGTGAATTGCTTCAAGACCTTGTGGGATTAGAGGAACAAAGATAACACCAAGAGGAAGCAGAGATACCCAGAATGTGGTGCATTTTTTAAGACAACTGCCCTGTCTCTTCAAAAAGCTAATATTAAGAAAAGCTATAAAATAGGAGGGACTATTTTTAGACTGAGAAATGGAAAAAAAAACTTTACAAAAACATAACCAAATGCAGTAAGTGACCCTTGATTGGATCCTGGCTCAAAAGAGTATCCACTATAAAAGATTATTTTGAGGAAAGCTGAGGAAATTTGAATATGGCATGGATAATAGATAATATTAGTAAATGATTGTTAATTTTCTCAAGACCTGATAATAGTGTCATGATTATGAAAGAGAATGTTCTTATTCTTAGAGATACATACTTAAGTATGTTGGGGTGATGTGTCTTATCTGCAACTTTGGGATGATTCAGCAAAAAAAAATTATATTTTATAAACATTTATGAGCAAATAAAGCATATATGGCAAATGTTAATTGTTGAATTGTTGAGTCTGGATATTGGATAGTATTGCTAAATCAGTGTGGATACTGTATTATTCTTTCACATATTCTGTGAAATATTTGGAAATTTTTAAAGTTGATATTTATCTTTTTTATTATCCACAAATAAAAGATATAAAACTGTGGTTATTAAAAACATTAGAATACTTCAGTGAAGCTATTTCCTATGCGGTAAACCTTCTAAAGAAAGAGACTGATACTTTAATTTTCTATGGGGATTCAATTTAGAGACCCTATTATTATGGTCTGACTATCACTAGAACCACTAAAGGTGTTTGCTAGAATTTTGACGTCCAACATTACACAGACCTACAGACCAATCTTTGGGTAATTGACATATTCGTTATTCCCTGAGTAATATTTTCATACACCTGATTTTGGGAATCATTATCTTAGATTTCATATTTTGCATTCACACTTCCTAACATATTCTTCTCGAATGGCAATTTTCTTTCTTTTTTTTTTCTTTTTTTAAAGATTTTATTTATTTGTCAGAGAGAGAGAGGGCGAGTGAGCACAAGCAGGAGGAAGAAGCAGGCTCCCTGCTGAGCAAGGAGCCTGATCCCAGGACCCTGGGATCTCAACCTGAGCTGAATGAAGGCAGACGATTAACTAACTGAGCCACCAAGGTGTCAATATCTATTTTTTAAATTAGAATTTGTTTTGATTTCAAGTAAAGTCGATGTCAAAGAAAATATCCTTAAACACTGACCAGAATAAATAAAATATAAAATGTAAAAAAAATAAAAATTAGAAAACCTGTGGTTATCAAAACTAAGCACGCTCATAGAACGGCCAACACAACAGAGAAAAGAATACTACAGGGTTGTTTAACCTGGCCACAGAGATTTTAAAGGTATTCTTTTTACCCCGATAGATGAAAAACAGCAACAAAATCGGGCTCATTCAGGAAAAAACAGAAAATATTCTATTTGGAAACTGGCAATAGTCCTTTCCAGAAAAAACATGTCAGTTTCATGAACCCCCAAGATAAAACAAACAGGAAAAAAGTCACACACACGATTCACTCAACAAAACGTCCTCTGTTAACACAACCCGCAGTACAACCATCACTCACACCGTGAGGTAGTGGCAGTACAAAAAGACTGGCACGCATGTGCGCACCCACACATGCTCACGGTCACGCCCACTACAGAACACACACAGAAAATGGGTTTGCAATCTTATTACAGACAAGGGCAAGACCATTTGTTGTTGTTGTTGTTTAGAAAATGCATAGAAACGCTCAGACATTTTAATAAAATTATTATAATAAAAAACTTGGAAAAATTAAATTATATATGAATGACTTACTTATGTACCTCTTTTTTTTTCTAGTACTCTCTGAGTGAAAGGATCTTGCATTACAAACGGAAGGGGAAAGGAGCAATTTCAAGTGGTATCTGGTCGCCAGTTGTAAAATTCCAGGGAAATACAGGATAATTTGATTATTCATAGATTTGGTATTTAAAAGATCAATTCTGAGAGTGGTTTCACTTGAAGTGGAAGCCTGAATACGGAGGCGTGAGAAGAGAGGGCGGAGAGAGTAGACCGTCTCTCAATAAACTCAGGATTTGTTGTTATTTTTGCCGCTTGCGGACTATGACATCACTGAAAATCTGAAATTACTCCCATTCCAGACCTCAGTGAACTCTCGCGATACTAGAGCCCAGTGGAGCGCGAAACGCCGTGGGAGGGGCTGGGGTGAGATCGACTGACTTCCGGCCAGGCCGTTGTCTGGGTGGCGCGGTCGAGTCATCGCTGGGCCTCGCCGCTTGGGTTTCCCATCTCTCCCCCCGCCCCGGCGCGGGGGGTCGACCAGCCAAGTGGGGCGGGAGGCGACTCGGACGTTCCCCTCCGTTTCGCTCTGGCCAGCTCCCTGGCCCCCCGCGCTGGAATCTGGGGTCCTTGGGGCCCGCGAGGCCCGGTCTGAGGGGCCGGGGCCTACGTGGGCCCGCTGCTGGGCCCCATGAGGCATAGCCTGACGAAACTGCTGGCGGCCTCGGGCAGCGACTCCCCAACCCGCAGCGAGAGCCCGGCTCCAGCCGCGACCTGCTTGCTGTCCCCGGACCTGACCCGGGCGGCGGCGGCAGCGGCAGCGGCAGCGGCGGCAGCAGAGGAGGAAGAGACGGCGGCGGCCGGATCTCCCGGCCGCAAACAGCCGCGCGGCGACGAGGGCGAGTTGGAGGCCGGGAGGGGGGGCCGCGGCGGCGTGGCCGTGCGCGCGCCCTCGCCCGAGGAGATGGAGGAGGAGGCGATCGCCAGCGTCCCCGGGGAGGAGACGGAGGACATGGACTTTCTGTCCGGGCTGGAACTGGCAGATCTGCTGGACCCCCGGCAACCGGACTGGCACCTGGAGCCCGGGCTCAGCTCGCCCGGGCCTCTCTCCTCGTCCGGCGGAGGCTCGGATAGCGGCGGCTTATGGAGAGGGGACGACGACGACGAGGCCGCGGCTGCCGAGATGCAGCGCTTTTCTGACCTGCTGCAGAGGCTGTTAAACGGCATCGGAGGCTGCAGCAGCGGCAGTGACAGCGGCAGCGGCGAAAAGAGGCGGAGAAAGTCCCCAGGAGGAGGCGGCGGTGGCAGCGGCAACGACAACAACCAGGCGGCGACAAAGAGTCCCCGGAAGGCGGCAGCGGCTGCTGCCCGTCTTAATCGGCTGAAGAAGAAGGAGTACGTGATGGGGCTGGAAAGTCGAGTCCGGGGTCTGGCAGCCGAGAACCAGGAGCTGCGGGCCGAGAATCGGGAGCTGGGGAAGCGCGTGCAGGCACTGCAGGAGGAGAGTCGCTACCTACGGGCCGTCTTAGCCAACGAGACCGGACTGGCTCGCTTGCTGAGCCGGCTGAGCGGCGTGGGACTGCGGCTGACCACCTCGCTCTTCAGAGACTCGCCCGCCGGTGACCATGACTACGCTCTGCCCGTGGGAAAGCAGCAGCAGGACCTGCTGGAAGAGGACGACTCAGCGGGAGGAGTATGTCTTCATGTGGACAAGGATAAGGTGTCGGTGGAGTTCTGCTCGGCGTGCGCCCGGAAGGCGTCGTCTTCTCTTAAAATGTAGGGTCAAGTAATCTGCTCTTTATCCGCGTTTACCCCTTTCAACTCCCTTACACCATGTAAAACACCTTAGTGGGACATCTTCACTGGACACATTTCAGAGGAGGAAAAAGTAATATTGAATCTTTTAAGTGTTTAGCTAAAAGCATGAATGTGACACTGTAACCAACTCCTAATGATAACATGTGACTATTAAATCTCTCTGACAGTTTCTTTTTTAGGTGATTTCCTTCCTGCCAGGCTCCGTTGTAGGGGTTACAGAACAGTCGTTCCCGCCTCACAACCTGGTAAGGATCCATCTCTTCACGTAACGCTCATGCTCTGCTGCTTAGTCTACTTTAATGGGCAACATCTGAATTTGTGTGTGTGTGGGGTTTTTTTTTTTCTTTTTTGGAACGTGGGAGGGGAAATCTAATTTGGGCCCTGTCCACCCTGGAAACAGACTTGTGCTGGTCAATAATGTATTTAAGATGCTTCTTCTGGTTGAAATAGCTGTTAATGTGTCCCCTTGTTCAGACTTGCGTGTACCTAGCTCTTCTGTCCCCAGTGTGGACATGGCCTTGGATGACATCGGTTCCAACTGTACACTGAAAGCTGCTAATAGAGATGCAGTTTGGAGACAGTGAAACAGGTGAAGTTGAATGGAAGTTCCGAGTTGTACAAGGTGCAAATTGGAATTCCAATTTTAGAGCAACTTTTTAGAGGTTGACAATAAGTATTTGGGGCTTGCACAAATGTGATAGTTATTTTGCTGGAGATGACAGAACTATCTTAAATATTTGGGTATGCCTTTTAGTTTTCAGTAGGAGATGTAGAAATACAATCTATTTAGAGTAAAAGATTTTAATATTTCACCATTAAAGAAGTTGGAAATTAACATGCATCTCTATGTTAATTGAAGGAGGAATAAGAATTGTTAATGAAATGTTTGAGGACCAGCACAGTGATTACCCTATCACTGACTATAAAAAATTGTTGAACACTTTTACTTTTGTTGTATTAAAATTTTAGGTTAAATTTATGTATGATTAGATATTGAAGGTTGTGAAATGTGAATGAAAACGTGTAAAGTGAGGCTTCACAAAGAATCTTATTCTCCTTATTTCAAAGGTTTTTGTCCTATTTAAAAATATTTAAAATTGAGTGCTTCTGGCTACTTAAAGACAAAATTGACACTTTTTCCAAAGATGGGACATATTCTTCCCTTGAAGTACTGTATTATTCATTGTCGAATTGTATAGATTGAGTTACAGTGGCCTTCAGTGTAAGAGGCATTAAGAAATTCTTTGTGAAACATCACTGTTTAATAAAGTATATACATATTTAGCATCCTTGTTTTTCTTTGTGCTAAAGTGGATACAGCTGTTGGGGCAGAAGAGACGGGACCAGCTGCTGGCCACATTTCCTGCTTTATTTTAAAAGGTAGTATAAGAAATGAGGAAAAAGAGGTAATATCAGGGCTTCTGCTGTCTTTTATTTTAAAATGTTCATAATTAAAAAGTATTTTCCAGCAGTCCAAAGATGTAAGTTATCTTACACATGTTTTATTTTGTTGTTACTTGGTTATAAAAATGGAATCCTTGTTCTTGCACAACTGTAAATGTTTTGTTGCTAGATAACACGATTTGAGACCAACTTGGTCTCTGGTTTCCAGTGCATTACAGCATATTTTGTAAAATCATCTACTGCACTTGAGCATGAATGGGTAGTAGCCAAATTCACAACCTGGAGTGATGAACCTGCTTATACCTAAGTGCAGGAGCAAGCCCCTCACAATGCAGCTGCATGGATTTTTAGTGCCTACTGAATTTTATATAT